ATAAAGCAAATATTAATAAATCTGAAGGGAGATATAAATAAAATACAATAATATTAAGGGACACGGACAACTCACTTTATCAGTGGAAGGTCCTTTAGACAAAAAAATTAATAAGGAAGCATCAGAATTAAATTTCCTTCTACATCAAATGGACCTAACAGATGTACACAAAACATTTCATCCAATGGCTGCAGAACACATTTCCCTCAACTGCACATGGAACATTCTCCAGAAGAGATCACAAAACAAGTCTTAACAAATTTAAGAAGATTGAGATCATATGTAGGGTCTTTTCTGACAACAAAGATATAAAACTAGAAATCAATAACAAGAAAAGCTTTGGAAATTTCTCCAAAATGTGGAAATTAGACATTAGGTTCCTAAATAATCAATGGATCAGTGTGGGTCTGTGAGATATTAAAGAGATTTAAAAACTGAGACAAATGAAAACAAAAGCACAGCACACTAAAACCTTTGGAACACAACAAATCAGTTCTAAGAGGAAAGATTATAGTAATAAATGCCTATATCAAGAAGAAGGAGGGGGAGGAGAAGGAGAAGCGGGAGGAAGGGGAGAAGGAGGAGAGGAAGAAGAAGAGGAAGCACCAATAAATAATCTAATATTACACCTCAACAAATCAGAAAAACAAGAACAAACTTAGTCAAAAATCAACAGAAAGAAAGGAATAATAAAGATGAGAGCAGAAATAAAGTAGAAAATAATAGTCGAAACTATAAAAACAACAGGAAAAATATTTGAAATCTAAGAATTGGATTTTTGAGAAGATAAGCAAAATTTTCAAGACTTTAGCTAGATTAAGAAAAAAAGAAAGAAGTCCAAGTAAAATAAAAGTGAAAAAGGAATATAGCCCTTGCTGCTCTGCCACTGTGACTCTTTTTAAAGATGGACATATTTCTCTTCTACTCTCACTGCTTCTCCCTAATCTCTCCCCCTTCCTAATCTCAGGAAAACAGAATTACCTTTCTTCTTCATCCTAGGCAGAGGTAGCTGTCCTTGAACACCCACCCATCACAGGAACAAAGTAATTCAAACTTTGGAGATGGCTCCAGAAGATCTCAGAAATTACTATCTCCCAAATTAACGAGTGAATTTCAACTCCAGACAGAACACATGGAATGTGGACTTTGAGTCATCTCTTTAAAAGCCCCCTGCTCCCCTGGGATGGATAGAATCATCTCTTCTGGAACAGGAGACTTCCCCGTGCTTCTCCTTTGCTAGTATAAGGTTCTTGCTTAGCATTTGGACGGCCATCTTAAGTGACAGCTGCCATTTTAAGGAAAAAGTTTTGCTTTCCCGCCCAAGGGCGTTTATGAGAAAGGCTCACCACTCTATCATACCAACCCAACCCCTAACCACCAGCATTAGGACCCACCCTGCTCTGATTCCTGAGCCTGCCCCATACAAGTCCTGGAACCCAAGCCTCTCTCTGGTATAAGAGATGGCCTTTGTCAGCTCTGATAAATTAGCTCGTGTGTATCTCTGCCTGGTCTCCGTCTTTCATTTCTCACTTACCAGTCTCTCTTTCCTCACTTTCCCTTCACCTAGCAAAGCAATAAAATTTATTTTCTCAGAAAGAAAGAAAGAAAGAAAGAAAAAGAAAAGGGAGAAATTACAATTGAAGCAACAGAAAGTAAAGGATCATAACAGACTATTATAAATAATATATATACCCCAAAATTGGAAAACATTGAAGGAATGAATAATTTCTTAATGCATCTACATCAACCAACCAAGATTTAATTACAAAGAAATAGAAAAAAACCTGAACAGAAAAATGATGAGTAATGAGATTAAATCAGGAATAAAAAATTTCCCATCAAAGAAAAATCCAGGACCAGATGGTTTTTTGAATCAAGCACTTAAAGAAGAACTAATTCCAATTTTTCTGGAACTTTTCCAAAGAAATAGAAAAGGAGAAAATGCTTCTAATCTCACTTTAAAACAAGGACAGCATCACCTTGATATTGAAGACCAAGAGACTACAGAAAGAAAGAACCAACTATGAGCTAATATCCCTGATGAACATAGATGCAAAAATCCTCAACAAAATACTAACAAACTGAATTAACACACATTAAAAAGATAATTTACCGGACTGAGCTTTCTGAAACGAAAAAAATGATATCTATTTATTTACTATTATATGTTAGGTTGCTGTCTTTTACACACAACAGAAAACTTATCTCAAATTGGTAAGGAAGGAAACTCAGTGTGGAAGCCTCTTGGATCATGTATCGGGAAGTTCAGAGGGAAAGCAGACTTCAGTATTGGCTTAGTCTAGTGGCTTCATTTCCCTGTAATTCTCTCATGCTTGTCTTCTCCACTGTTAGTTTCATTCTTCAGTCTGGTTAAAGGAATCTACAGCAGTTTTGACACTCATATTTACAGTATGATGCACGATAAGAGAAACTAACTCTTCTTGGGTTCATTTTTAGGAGTAAGGAAACTTATTCATAATCCACTACAAAACACCTTAAATTTCATTAGCTTTGTTTTGTTATGTATATAATTCCTGAGCCTGTCCCTGGTTAAGAAAGTGATATCTGCTATGGTTTGGATATAAGATGTACCCTGAAAAGTTTATATGTTAGGCAATGCAGAAATATTCAGATATGAAATGATTAGATTATGAGAAATGTAACTACATGAGTGGATTAATTCATCTAAAGGATTAATAATTTGAATGGACTACTGGTTGTTAACTGGAAGAAGGTAAGGTGTGTCTGAAGTAGGATACTAGGGCTATGCCCTTGGGGATTATATCTTGTCTCTGGCCTCTTCCCCACCACTCCCACCCAGCCTCCTTTCTGGTTCTAAGCTGCTATAAACTGAGATGCTTTCCTCAGCCATGCTCTGCCATGATGATGTTCTGCCTTCCTCTTGGGCTGAGAGCAATGGAGTTAGCCAACTATGAACTGAACTTCTGAAACCATAATAAAAAAACAAAACAAAAAACAAACAACAACAACAAAAAATCCTTTTCTTCCTCTAAGTTGTTAAAAAAAACACACAAAAAACCTTTTCCTCCTCTAAGTTGTTCTTGTCATGTATTTTGATCACAATCATGAAAGGCTAACTAGCAAACTATCCATGGATTGGTTTAGCTCTGAGATTTGAGCCAATCTCTGAAGAGAGTGTGGGCTTATGAAAATAGCTTAGTTATGTAGGACGCACTCCCAGAACCAAGGGGTGAATTTTATAAACCACTTGAATGCTATGCAATGGAGGTGGGGTGAAACTAATATTGAATAGAAAATCATGAGGTCACTAAATGGATAATATCCAAACTTTTGTCTAACTTACAAGGCCCTTTGAGTTTTAGCCTCTGCTTATTTGTGTCTCAGAGATAATTTCATGTCATTTTTTTTGTACACATAAAATCAAACCATATTGATTGCCTGAACTTGAAGAAAAGGCTTTTAAAAAAAGAGAACATGTTCTTTCACATGACTATATTTTTATATATTTGTCAATGTAGACAAATTGACATCTTTACCTAGATAGATAAACAGGTAGATAGATAGATACTTCCCACCTCCTGGAATTGCTGACCAACTTTTGATTAACTAAAAGTCACATTCTTTAAGATCAAACTGAAGTATTCTTTCCCACATTGAATTCTTCCTTGTTTTCAGTCACACTGGCCTCCTTAGACATTCTTGAACACACCAGGTTCTTCTGAATCAAAGTCTTGGCCCTGGCTCTTCTTTTGCTGGACTGCTCTCTTCTCAGATTCATGTAATTCTCTCACCTCTTTTAACTCTTGGTTCAAATGCCATTTTCTCAATGAGGCCAACTCTGACTGCTTTTTTTGTTAAAAAACAAAAAGTATCTTCTCCCTACTCCAATTTCAGGTGATATTGGATCCTCTTACTCTATTTTTACTTTAAAAGAAATTTTGTTTTGTTATTGGGAATTGAACCCTAGGATACTTTACAACTGATCTAAAAATTAAGTCCTCAGTCCTTTTTATTTTTATTTTGAAATAGAATTTCACTAAATTGCTAAAGATCTCACTAAATTGCTGAGGCTGGCCCCAAACTTTCAATCTTTCTGCCTCAGCCTCCCAAATTGCTAGGATTACAATTATGCACCACTGTGCCTGGCTAATTTAAAAAAAATATTAACTTTGCAGTTATAAACTCTATGCATACTATACAATTTACTAATCAATTAAGTTTATTACTATTGACGGACTCCTCTGAGTAGAATATAAACTGAACAAAGTCAGAGAGCTTTATTTTATTCACTTATGTATCCCAAGTGCCTAGAACAGTGTCTGTCCTAAGAGCACACCATAAATATCTGTGGAGTACTGAATAGATAAACTATCCTGAGAGTTTTAAAGATGCAGATGGTCCTCATATCAACGGGATATGAATTTCCAGAATGCAAGATTAGGATACATTTCTGATATTTATTGTGGGAAATTATGGTTGCATAAATAGCCTTTGAGCAGTATTAGCAATAAACATATGGCAATCATAGTTATTAACTTGAGAATTCCCTGAAATAAGAAAGTACATTCTGCCAAACTGCCATACATCCTGTTAGCTCTATTAGTTGATTTGTAGGATACATTGGAATCTTTTTTCTTTAAAACTCTACAATCCAGTTTCTATTTTTGAAACTGTTTTTATTCTGTAGTTATTCATTCTGTAGTTATATTCAGTCTAGTTCTATGCATTTATTTATTTATTTGTGTATTTATTTTTCCCAAGGCATCTGACAACCTCCAGTGTAAGAACCACTTCTTTGGGGCTGAAGGTATATCTCAGTTGGAGAGTACTTGCCTGGCATGCCCAAGGCCCTGGGTTTAATCCCGATTGCCTCAAAATAAAACAAAACAAAAACTTCATCTTCCAGGCGGGAAGTTCATCTTACTACATTTTTTTTTTTATCCCTAGTACCTAACGTGAAATATTATATGGAGAAGTTATTCAATAAAAACTCATTGAAGGCATCAGTGAAATCTTACCTCCTTCCAGCATCTTTTGTAATACACTACAAATTATTCCACAACATTTTTGAGGAGCTTGGCTTCAGCATTATTTAATGATCACAATTCCAAATAATATATCTGTGGAATCCAAATCCCTATAAATATATAAAACATTATGGTCATCCCTAAAATTCATTTGTGTCCCATTGAAGTCAATCTCTATCCTCACTCCCACCAGAGATGATTTTTTTTCATATATGGATTAGTTTTGACTGCTTAAAATTTCCTATAAATGGAATCATAAGCTAAGTAGTTTTTTGTGTGTAAACTTCTTTCTCTCAATATAATCTTGGTTAGGATATTATGTTCATGAGTAAGACAAGCCTTTACATTTTCTTTCTTCACCTGACCTCTTGGTTCTAGTACCAAGATTCTTTTCTCCCCATATTAAGCTCTTCCTTTAGTCTAATATAATGACATGCACATGGTATGATTGAAAATATGGTTAAATAAACGAATAAACAGAGATCCAGTGATTTCACAGTTGCTTTGACCTGGCAAGCTCATATAGTCTTTGCCAAACTCCCTAAATGTTCAAATTAAAATAACAAAACCATCAAAATTAACACTGTAAAGTTAATCTTGATCAAACTCCAATGGTGAGCTTGTTAATTATAGAAACATAACATTTTAATAATAAGTAAAAGAGCCATTTTTTACTTATTATGGTTTATGAGTTGCTACTCCATATTCATCATCAATAATCTTCCTTTCTTATATAACCTTGATTTTGTTTATGGCAGTGATGTTGTGCAAGAAAGAAAGAAAAAATTACGTATTTATCATACCTGACAGCCAGAAGCAGCCATGTAGCACAATTCTGGTCAATGAGACATTTATGTACAACTGTAAGAAATTTGTTGGAAAGTTTGCTTAACTCATAGACATGTGTCTTCCTGTCACTTCCTCCTGTCACATAAAACTAAAGGTGAATTCGCCATCTTGTGCCCATGAAGCAACTGAGAGAATAAAAACCAGATGCTACAATTCATAATAGACAAATTATGGAACCAGCCTAGGTGTCCATCAATAGATGAATGGATAAAGAAAATGTAGTATACATACACAAAGGAATTTTATTCAGTAATAAATAAAAATGAAATTATGTCATTTGCAGGAAAATGGATGGACCCAGATATCATTATGTTAAACTAAATCAGCTAAACTTGGAAGGTCAAGGGTCATATGTTTTCTGTTACGTACAGAAGCTAGAGAGGAAAAAGGAAAAGAAATATGGGGGGAATCTCATAATACATCAAAGAGAGATCAGTAGAGGAAAGGGACCAAGGAGTAAAAGGTGAGGAGGAAGGAGAGAAGTGCCCAATTATATTGTTATATTGTATGCACATATGAATATACAACAAATCCCATCATTATGTACAACTATAATGCATCAAAAAACTGTGGGAATACGTATAATCAGATGCTAATATATTCATTTGGTATAGGCTAATTGACTGTGACAAAGACACTTAAAGTGTTATTTTAAAGTACAATGTCTTAAAAATAACAAAATTATTTCTCTCTTTCTTGAGATAACAGTTCAGGGTGCTGCCATTCTCAACATGGCTTCCATCTTTATAACCAAGGCATTTTTCCATCTTCTGCCATTTCATGGCCTTTGAAAGAGGGAAGAGACCAGGAAAGCACATACCTCGTTCTGATGAGGGTAAGACCCAGAATGGTACACACTGTTTCCATTCATAACCCCTTAGCCAGTCCTTGGTCATATGACCTCACCGAGAGAGGTGATGAAAAATACATGTAAAATTCTATTACCAATGGAAGAAGAGTAGAATGGATATTGGGGACAAAAACAAGTCTATCTCATTCATGTGGTCACAGAAGAAAGGCTTCTGGGTCACTGACAGTATTATGGATGTCCATTTTGCTTTCTACTGCCCTCCAGACTTCTTGTTAAATAAGAAAAAATGACTATTTGATTAAGCCTTTGCTATTATTTTATATAATATTATTGTTTTCATTGTGCAAAACTGAAACTCTACATCCATTTAACAACTTTCCATTTCCTTTTCCCTCAAATCCCTAGCAAGGTACCATTTTATTTCCTGTCTCAATGAGTTTGCTTACTCTGGGTACCTCACATAAGTATACCACTTTTTTGCATGTATGACTGGCTTATTTCACTTAGAATAATGTCTTCAAGGTTGAAGCACATCCACATTGTAGCATGTGTCAGAATACCCTTCCATATAGAGACGAATAATATCCTATTATATGTATAGACCACATTTGTTTATCCATTCATCTATCATTGAGCATTTAGGTTGTTTCCATCTTTTGGTTATTGTGAAAAATGCTACCATGAATATGGATGTAATAACATTGTGTTGAGATCCTGCTTTAAATTCATTTGGGTGAAATTATATCGTTATATTGTATGCAGGTACTAATATGTAACAACAAATCCCATCCATATATACAACTACAATGTACTAATAAAAAATGTGGAAAAAAATAAATATTTTGGTTTTATAACCAGAAATGAAATTGCTGAATCATACAGTAAATTCTATTTTCAACTTATTGAGGAGGCACACAATGTTTTCTGTAGAAGCTGTCTAATTTACATTCCAATCAAGAGGACACAAGGGTTCTGACTGTTCACCAACACTTGTTATCCATTCCCCTCAGGGGTCATCCTAAAGGATATTAGGTATTTAAGCCTCTATTAATTCAATTCACTGTTGTATGCAGACAAATGCAGTTTCTGATTCATATGCTATACAGTACTGTATAAATATTATCAGATTTAATCTTCAAAATGCTAAGTCAGTACCTCTATTATCCCCATTTTAAAAACAAAGAAACAGGGGTTTCAGAGATTTGCTTAAGTCACACAGTTAATGGAAGAATTAGGATTTGAAACTAGGTTTAAATTATTTTTAGATGCCCTACTTTTAACCATCCTAATAACATCCCTGATATTTGTGTGGATTACTTTATGATTACTTAATATACAAACTAATGATAGTCAGAAACCCTTTTTACTCATGGGTTATGTATCCATGGATTCACCCAACCATAGGCTGAATTTTTTTTGAAAAATATTGTATCTGTATGAATGTGTACAGACTTTTTTGTCATTATTCCCTAAAAAAATATAGTATGACAGTTAGTTACACTGCATTTACATTGTACTAGGTGTTATTAATAATCTAGAAAAACATAAAGTTTATGGGAAGGTGTGTTTAGATTATATGCAAAAACTATATAATATTATTTATATAAGGGATTTGGATGTCTATGGATTTTGGTATACATGAGGATCCTGGAACCAATTCCCCATGGTATAGAAGGATATATGTATTTAGCTCACCATTGTGCTTCTTGTTGTCATGGAAAGAGCTGGTAACTGAAGCCATCGGAGGATGTGGGAGAAATAAGTTGTAGTCTCAGTTCTACCTCTAACTGGACTGGACAAATCTTTTCTGAGTTTCTGTTTCTTCATCAGAAAAATGAGGTAGTTGACAAATCTTTTCTGAGTTTCTATTTCTTCATCAGCAAAATGAGGTAAGTTGGGTTAGATGATCTCCACGATTCAACTTAATGTCACTATTAGAGGTCAGGTGGCCTGGGAATACTAATGGGGCAAGAAATACAACACAAGAATTTGACAAAAGATAGTCATTATGGGGGGCTATGCGTACAGGTAGGATAATTCAGTGGATAAGCTGTGATATTGGTAAAAGAGATAGAACTAAGCCTGGGAAAATGATCTCATTCAGTAATAAGAAAATGTGTGGAATCAAATAAAATCTCAAAAACACACATTGATTGATTTCTTATATTCTAGAAGAAAAATCTGATATTTAAATCTGATAAAGTTTGACACTTCTAATTGTAAACTCAGCTCTATTAGACTAACATTTTAATTTTTCATTTCATTTATTTAAAATAGAAAAAAATTAATTATTGTTCTATGTTAATGGGCTTCAAGTGATCACCTTTATCAATGTAGGGAATGTATCTGAAATATTCTATGTCCCTGGCTGTCCACATCTCTTGTAGTAAAAGATTCCTGTTGCTTATCTTCCTAGAACTTTTTTCTCTGGTGCTGCAGTGAGCATCTTTTTCTTCTTCTTTTTAAATATTTTTAGTTGCAGATGGACACAATACCTTTATTTTGTTTTTTAGGTTTTTTTTTAATACCTTTATTTTGTTTTTTAGTTTTTTTTTTTTTTTTATGTGGGGCTGGGGATTGAACCCAGTGCCTTATGCATGCTAGGCAAGTGCTCTACCACTGAGCCATGACCCCAGCCTCACAGTGAGCATCTTCTATCTAGTGCCAAAACAGGTCTTATTATTTAATTAAGGGTAATGAAATGCAACATTCAACAGAAAGATTGTAGATTTGGGGATATAATTTTATCAATTGTGTGACTTTATATATATTAATGAAGTATTTTCCTACCCTGTAAAATGAGGAAAATACAACATATTTATAAAGAAGAACTGAGGATGCTTAAATGAAATGGCATCCAAAGAGTATAGTACAAATAAATAAGACCATCATTAAGATGTTCCCATGGAGGGAATGTTAGTTGGTGAGTGTGAAAATGATGATTCCTCATCAAAACAGTGTCACTATGAAGTGCTTTTTAACAGAACAGCACTTTCAGATACTTACTCTGGTTTTAAATAAGAAAAAACTTCTATACACTTCCTTCCTTATTACTGACTTGCCCCTAAGTAAGTTCTGAATTTTGGTAAATTAACAATATCCTGCCATTCATAGATAAACAATAAACACTTTGTTGCAGTTTTCCACTACTTACATGAGGGAGAATGTTTTTCTCATATAGTAAGCATCAAGAGTAAAGACAAAAATTGTCTCATTTGAAAAAGAAATCTATTTATTCTTAAGTTCAATTCAGAGTTAAATGTTTGTGCAGCAAAAAGTAAGCATAGATTTCATATTAAAGAAGTAAATTTAATTCTTTAAAATTAGTTTCAAAACCTATACTTTTATGCTAGAAACCAATACCTGTGTATAATAATTTTGTTTCTACTACGATTGCATTTGAGCCTGTCATGTCACTTAGTAAGAAAATGTTGTAAGTCTTGTATAAAATTTATAAAATCTATAAGGTTTTTAGACCTTATAATAAATTTGGATAAGCTTTAAAAGTCAAGGACATTTAAGCAAAGGAAAAACTGAAGATTTGTCTGTCTCCACTAATGACTTAACATTAGAGTTATTCTTGGCACGGAGTAGTGTACAATAAGTACACTACTAAGTCAGCCAAGAAATCAGGTCTGTATATAAACATTTGCTACTAAACAGCATTGACCATCACCACCTACAAACTACTGATAACATAAGACATGGATTTAATACATCCTATACTGGATTTCCCTGATAGGGCAGAGGGGTGGGAGGGAAGGGGCGTGGGAAGAGGGTTAGCAAGGATGGTGGAATGTGATATACATCATTATCCAAAGTACATGAATGAAGACACGAATTGGTGTCAACATTCTTTATATACAACCAGAGATATGAAAAATTGTGCTGAATATGTGTAATAAGAATTGTAATACATTCTGCTGTCATTTATTTTTTTAAAAATCAATTACAAAAAAAAAGAGGAGTAGCTAGCAAAGACATTCTAGTTATTCTCTCATTCTGTGGGTTTTTTCTTCACATTCTTAATTGTTTCCTTTGCTGTGCAGAAGCTTTTGATGCTGTCTCATTTATTACTCTTGGCATTATTTCTTGAGCTTTAGGGGTCCCATTGCCTGTGTCTAAAAGCTTAAGTGACCCTATGTTTTCATCTAGGAGTTGCACATTTTCTGGTCTAACTCCAAGATCTTTGATCCATTTTGAGTTGATTTTTGTGCAGGGTGAGAGACAGAGTCTAGTTTCATTCTTTTACATATGGATAACCAGTTGTGCCAGCACCTTTGTTAAAAAGGCTATCTTTTCTTTGATGTGTGTTTTT